TCTCCGCAGCCTTCACTCCAGGAGGGACCCTCAGCTTCGCAGAGCAACCCCCACGCGGCACGCTAACCCCGACCTGGGTCTCCCCTGCCAGATGCCTCCCTGCCCCTCCCCCCGATGTTTCCGAGCATCTGAGCCACTGAGGCCGACAGGCACGGCCCAGGCAGCAGGCACCTCTCCCCTGTACCACCCCCCCCGTCCCCCGCCGTCTCCTCCTGAGGCTGATCTTCCTGGAACACGCCCCGGGGTGGTCGGGGAGCCCGGGCTGACTTGGGGGATCCTGTCCACTGCTACCAAAGCCACCGCAGCCAGCCCAAGTGACATACCAGCCCTCCCCGAAGTCTCCCGGTGCCAATGTGACGCCCAGTGTGACCCTCAGCCTGTGGCTTCTCACAGCCTGGCTGCCTGGTGGGCAACGTGGCAGCTACCACCTTTCTCCTCGCTGCCTCAGGGCCGGACCTGGGCTGCGTTACCCCTGAGGCTCCTGAGCGAGCCCCTAAACACCGCTGGGCTCAGCCAGCCAAGGCTGCCACACTGCTCGCCGCCCACACACACGGTCCTTTCTCAGACCAAACCCAGGGCCGAGGTCTCTCCACCCTCTGACATCCTCCGTGTTCATAGCCCTTGAGGCCAACGCAGCAGCAGGGGCTGTCCCCACTGGACCCCGAAGCCCAGCCATCAGCTACCCCATCAGCCTTGGACGTGGCAGACACATCACCCCGTGACCTCTGCCTGCAGGTGACCTCTGCCTGCAGACTCATCCCAATCAGAAGGGGGCAGCAGCCCCAGCCGGTCAGGGTATCTATGCAGCATCCTCCTCCCCACTCCGCAGAGCCTGGGGGGCCCCTGTTTCTTTCCCTCCTGACCCAGTGACCCAGTGACCCCAGTGACGGGCTCAGAGGCCCGTCCGGCTGGGCCGCTCCACCCACCTCCCGTGAAGAGGCCCCCTTCACGTGGGGACGGCAGTGGCAGCCCCTGGTCCAGCCTGAAGGGCCTGTTTCCTGTGAGAAAAGCCGGGAGAGACGGCGTGACATGGACGTGACGTGCCACGCCGGACAGCGATGGCCAGAAGACGGAACTCGCGTGCGGAGCTCTGGGCGGGTGCGGCTCTGTCCTCCGGTCGAACGCGCTGCAACCGCACTGATCCTCCGCTCCGTCTTCAAAGCGCGTCCCGTGGCCTCCGCGTGACCCCTCCCGCAGAATAAACCGTCAGTCCTCAGGGTCGCACATTTTCAACCCAGACGAGAGACTGAATACCGTGTGATCCTTACAGTTTTGCAAAGACATGGCAGGGCGCCTGTGTTGGTGGCCGGTAAGCAGGCACTTCAGTGGGACTGTGATTGAAAAATGTATCCAATCAGAAAGCACGCTCCCCTCGGCGTCCACGCAGGACAGGGAGAGGCAGAGCTGGGCCCGGGGGGCTGCGGGGAAGGCCCAGGTGGGGGGGATGGGGGGGCCCCGACACAGTGCGGTCAGCGCTCCTGGACCCGCCCTGGTCCCGCAGAGCTCGTCCCCTGCGGGGCTGGGTTTGCTCCTCTGTTCTCGCGCACCTGTTGATGCTGCCGCCCATTCCTTCTGTGCACATTCCTCCTAGCGGGTTCTCCGGGGGCCGCAGCCTGCTATTTCTGTAGAAAAAGCCATTGTTAAGAATATTATAGCCAATAAATGATATTCAGGTAACTCCAAGCTGTGTCTCCGTGACTGAGAATGGCCCCCAAAATGGGGAAACTCGCGTAGAAAAGCGTGTCCGTGTCCTCCCTCATCTGTAGATGCAGAAGGGAATGCTGGAACAACAAGGAACTAAGAGGGATGGTGAGCTGGGGGTCGGGGGGTGTGCGCTGCAACCCCATGAACCGGGCACATGACAGGACGAAACGGAAGATGACGCCTTTTCCCACACACTCCTGGACGCAGGCGGGGAGGGGGAGGGGGAGGAGGAGGGGAGCCCGGAGTGCTTTGCTGAACAGTGCGCATGCATCGCCTCTCAGCACAGACCTCTTACCACTCATCTTATTTACAGGAGAGAGAGATCCAAAAAGCAAGCAAGCAGAAATAGAGACATTTACATGAGACTTATCCAGGGTGAAAATCTAAGCATAATGGAAATCTAGTTACAGTTGTTAAAAAAAATTGCATCTATCTTCACAAAGAACTGAAGCAAACAGAAAAAGGAATAGATGTACAGAATGGTAACGAGGGCTTTATATTCTTATCACCCATGACAACGCAAGCAGGGACAAAGTAACTGTTTAGAAGACCTCAAACATGGTTAATGTAGGTAAAATTGATATATAGCAAATGGAATACTTCAAACATACCTTCTTTCAAAGGGCCTGTGGAAATATATATACATAAATATAATTTTGTACATTAAGTCACCGAGTAAACTCAAATTCCAAGGACTACAGACAGATTCTCGCGTGTAACGCACTAAGAGTAGAACATCGGTTCTCTGCCGTGGAAATGTGACAAGTGGAAGATGAATCGTAGATTACCCAGGAAATACCCATGAGGCCGCGGGAAGCAGCGGGCTCCATGGCCGCCTCTCCCTCCTGAACGGCAAGGACTCACTGGAGGTTCCTCCAGACCCACCGCCGTGTCCCTTCCCTGGAGACTTCGGTTTGTGGGGGGTGGGGGGGGGGGTCTGAGATGGGCCCAGAGGTGAGTGTTGTAAAAGGATCTTTTCATCGGGAAAGTTGAGGAAACTCCCTATGGGACTACCTGTAGCACCGTGCTGAGGGGGATCCATAACCCTAAATGCACATGTGAATAAACAGAAAAGGAAAAAGGAGTTAACTATCCACCCTAAAAAGTTACAAAAGGAACCGAAAAAATAAATAAATAAACAGTGGGGGGTTGGGGGGGAGGAATAGAAGGAACAGATTTGTAAAAATAAAAAATATAAATTAGCCTGGCTGGTGTGGCTCAGTGACTGAGCGTCCATATAAGCCAGGAGGTCACGGTGCGATTCCCAGTCAGGGCACAGGCCCGGGTTGTGGGCTTGATTCCCAGTGGGGGGCGTGCAGGAGGCAGCCAATCATTGATTCTCTCTCATCATTGAAGTTTCTATCTCTCTCTCCCTCTCCCTTCTCTGAAATCAATAAAATTATTAAAATGGTTTCAAGTATAATTTAATTAGGAAAAGGAAAACTAATAAAAAGCCAGGGGTGGTTCTTTGGGGAAATGAAAGCACAAGAGAAACCACCATCTACTCTCGTTAAGGAAAAAGGTAAACAGCAGGTGCTCCCAGCCCGTGAGCAGATGGGACCCAGAGGCCACACTAACCCAGCGCGATGACCTCAGCAGTACAGGGATGGTTCAATCTCTAAAACCTAGTCACCCACGCCCGGCCAGGTGGCTCCGTCGTCAGAGCGCCATCCCACACACCAGAGGGTGGCAGGCTCCATTCCCAGGCAGGGCACAGACCCAGGTTGTGGGTTCGATCCCCGGTCGGGGTGCATGTGGGAGGCAACCAATCAGTGTTTCTCTCTCACATCAATATTTCTCTCTCTCTCTCTCCCTTCCTTCCTCTCTAAGGCATCTAAAATCAATAAAAACACTTTTTCGTCTAGTGATCCAAGTCACCAAATTGATAAGATTGTAGGAAAATATGCCCCAGTATGGTTATCAGAGATGCTAAAGAGACGTTTGGTAAAACCAGTCTCCAGCCCTGGGTTTCTAAGCATCTGGATAAGATAAGACTGGAGACCACAGGACTTGAGAGATGCCAGTGTTGTTTGCAGAGAAGTGCGTTCACACACATCCAACAGGGCCAGACGGGCAGCCGTCTGGGGCTGAGTTATGCTGCGATAACCCATGGATGTCGACATT